GTGCTTTTCTTGCATTTTTGCAAGACCAAGAATACCTAATTATAGCATGACTAAGATCAGGACTGACCCTGCAAGGTTCACGCAAGAATAAGACTGAGTCGGCCAGATCCACGTCTCGCAGTTACATCAAACTCAAACATGGGCGTCAAGTATTGGTGCATTAAAATTTGGTTTCAAATCAATATTGCTATTGATAGACATTCCCTAGTATCGATATCAAAATTACGGTTTCTTCTGTCAGCAAAGTTGGTTAGTTACTATTACTATAACCCAAAAAGCTATTATATCGATGGTTTTAATTGGAAGTAAGTACATAAAATAATGTGTACCTGTGATAAAAGCGTAGCAAAAAACAAAAAGCACTAGCGAAATTAGCGAATTATCAATAACGACATACATCGAAAGTTAAAAAGTAATCAATGAGCGGGCCTTGTGCCCTTAACACAGGGTAACTAGTATTATTTATTAATTAGTTTTATTGGCATAGGGTTAGCGTATATGCCTAAAATTATGACCAACCAATACGATCGTAAAAATATTGCTAATTCTTATGTCAATAAGTACTCAAAATACATCCACTTGTTTCAGAAACTGAATCAACTGATAATAGAATATGATAGTTTGATGAGTTGCAATAGGAAGACTTATGAAGACTCTTGCAGCAAGACCAAGATCAAGACTGAATGTGCAATAACAAAACCAAGACCAGGTATATTGAAGACATACCAAAACTGGGGTTGGTCTTGCATTGGGCAACACTATTCGGAATACATGCATAAAGAAATACTCATTTGATATAGCCGTTATGTAACCATCACGTAAACATAGAACACGACTTTCAAACTAAATATAAACTGGACATAACTGCGACGCTTTATAGGTATTTGAGAAATTATAAATCGGATATGCATCTCCAGACTGCTGATTGTCTTTTGTTCAGTAGCACTGGTTGATTACCCCGTTTTTTAAATTAAGTACGTATTTTTTTTACATAATTATTTAATGTGTACACACGTTATCCTGCAACGATAACAAGCTTGCGCCTATTTTATCAGCCCAATTAGAACAGTGCAATGCTGAATACAGACCAGAAAATTGTGCCGTTATCGTTACGCTCGTCAATCATCAGAATATACTCGGTTGTTTGTTGAAAACACACAGACGGATAATTTACGGGTGTAGAGCCACGCCCGTTTGTTACGCGCCTCAGGGCACGTTCCCATTATGTCGTAACATTTTCGTCATGATACGACTATCTGTCGTGACTGTGTCGTGGACGTTTATTTTATCGCTGAATGACTGTCGTGTCTAGCTGTTCCCACTAGATTGTGACGACAATTTATCAGTTAACGACAGCCGCCATGTCGTTTGCAAGACTGAATCGTTTGAAGCTGCGATTATCTGTAGTCACATTTTTATCATGACGTTTTATTTATCGTCGGACGACCGTCGTTCTAGCTCTTCCCATTGGCACGACAGTCTGTCGTCGTAACGCTAAAAAAGTCATGAACGACAGTTAATCGTGTTGTTCAATGTGTGAACGACTTCATTTAAATATATAGGCCACGACACTTTAAACTGCACGACTATCTGTCATCACGACATAATGGAAACGCGCCCTAAAATGGTGAAAAACACAGTACCTAAAGAAGTTTTTTAGTGACACTGAAAACAATTTAACTTTATACAATACTCGTAAATATCGAGTTCTTAGGTTTTCGCGATTGTTACACATGGGAAATGGAACTATTTTTCCGGATTTCGGACCTTACTTACTTACAGCCTCAACCGTGACCATGAGACCTGTAAAGGGTTCGAAACGTCGGTTTGTTTGAAAAAACAAATATACGCAATTAAAATCCGGAAAAAAAAAATTCAAATTGTGCATTCATAGACACGACGGGTTCAGTGGTACGCCCCTCTACTAGATAGACGGATGAACTGGTAAGGGTGGCGTATAACCGATGGATGCACATCGCGTAGGACCGGCTAGTCTGGCAATCTTTGAGGGAGGCCTATGTTCAGCAGTGGACATTTTACAGACTTTCTTTATGATGATGATGATGACGAAAGCACCTCCTTGCGCACGTCCTTACCACAGACGCGCACATAGCACAGACTTAAGCATTCTCGCAAGAAGTTTTCCATATGGTGTGCTCCAACTCTTAGACACAACTAAAGGCTGACTAATAACAACTTTATACTTTACTTTTCCACATATTTATAAATTTAAAAAACTAATTCATTTCTAAGTAAATCTAATTTAATTGGCAGCATAAACATTGATATTTAAACTATGAGTTAACTGTCATTGTATTTAGGATATACATTCAGCAAACAGTAGAGCGCCTTTGAAAGAGTTCGTCCAGGGAAGTACTGCCACTGTACCTATTTCTGCCGCGAAGCTGTAATGTGAGCATTACTGCGTTCCAGTTTAGAAAGGTAAGGGTGCTGGTGAAATTACAGGCACATGGGACTTGTCAACTTATGTCTCAAGTTGACGGGTGCAGTGGCAGTGCCCCTAAGATCTTTTCGATTTAAAGCTCTGAATGGCACTGCAATTGTTGTGGCTAGGCGTTTCGCTAACCACCAGGCGCACAACTTGTTCGTCCCGCCACTTAGTAACATAAATAAAATTTAAAAATGTAATGTTAACTTATCACAGTTAACATATGCACTAACAAGGAAGAGAAACGCGGATGTCTTCTACAAACATTAAGCGTCTAAACAAAACGACAACCTAGCTCCGGATAAAATTTAGTCACGTCACATGAAGTTTTCCTCAAAATGCATTCAGCTATTAAAATGATCACTTGATCAGCCACCTAATGGCGGCCAATCCAGTGCAAATGTCGTCATTTAGTCATTTTTTATCACCTTATCTGACATCGTAGACACCACTAGTATCATGTGTAACTCCAGTAAATGATAACACACTATACATTCACAGAGAACAGTCGCATATAACGTATTTTTAACATAGACGTGTTATTATTGTCGAAATATTACTTCGCAGCTCTTTTGCGAAGTGTTTTACGAAGTGATTTTTGTTTCAATTTAGTGTTGGTGACATTTTAGGTGTCAAAATGTGTTTCTCCATAACAACCTGTTGTTGTTGTATCAGTCTCGAGATTGGCGCACAAATAATCAGCATTATAAGTTTAGTAAGCATGGAATGTCATTTTAAACTTAGTTTTTCTTTTAAGCTAAGAGGAACTAATTTACGTAGTTGCAATAAAAACCCGTGTACAATAATTGTTTAATTCGAGAAGATTCACTGAATTTGTAAATGCAAATCTGTATTTGACCTACAGACGAGGTAAAACGAGTTGTATAACATCGATGTTACTATTTTTCATGGTCATTGTTTTGTGATATGTGTTATCGATATAAATGAAATGTGGAAAGGAATGATTCATGTTAGTACCTAAAGTAACAAAATAGATGGCTCTAGCAGTTTAGAGAATTCAATAAACAATTTATAAAACAAGCCTACATAATAATAATTAGTATGTATGTAGTTCCACATGTTATGTTATGAGGACCTCCGTGGTCGAGCGGCTTGCACATCGGTTTTCATGGTGTCGCCATCTCTGAGGTCCCGGGTTCAAAAACCACTCAGTGAGTGTAGAACAACCACTAGAAAAAGTAACTTTTCTATATTATCTCGGGTCTGGGCGTTTGTGTTACCGTCGTTGTTTCCGAATGCCATAACACAAGTGCTTATAGCTACTTATTTTGGGATCAAAGCAACGTATGTGATGTTGTCAAATACTTGTTATTAAAAGAATATTGAAATAAAGTCAATCAATAGCGGGACTATATTACTAGCATAAACATAACATATGCAACAACTTTTGTCCCATGACTTTTAAGAGTCTATACTACCTCAAATGGCTTTGGTCGATTCCGCACAGTGAAAGTTAATTATGAATATTATTATTAGAGTGTTCAATCAATCATTTTGGAAAAAATATATAGTAAAGTTATTACTATACGGTATGAAAACACGATTTCTAAAAATTTTCACGACAGAAAAAAAAACAAGAAAAGCGCTGTATTCAGTAGGTACTTAACATACACCAATTTTTTTTTATATCATCAGAACACGTATAGTATGCGATATGCATTTTTCAAATGGATTTAATTTCGTTTGTAAAAAAATCAAGAAATAAAGCCATGGCCGCTGCCGCTCAACCCAATCAAAATGAACCGTATTAGCACGGGAAAAAATTCAATTGGAGCTGAGGTAGTATCGACTCTTAATAAGTCACCACATTTTACTTTCATACAGAAATAAAAATATTTAAATAGATTGCTCTAAACGATGATACCTATCTATGTGCAAAACGCAGTAGCGCGGGCGGGGCTCGTCGGGGAGGATGCTTGCACGTTTTAACTTACTACCAATCTAAAGTGCCTGATACTTGTAGGCACAGCAAGTGAAAGTTTAGCAAACATAAAAGTTCATTTTTGATCGTTATTATACCTGTTTCGTACAAAGTCATGGAACACAAGTGATTGTTTATGATGGTTAATATAGTTTTGTGAGCTTGTTAGTATTTTACAAATAACCCTGTATATATGGATAAAACATATTTATATGCTGTTCTTCATAAAACCGTGGTAGCCTATTGGTTTCACCTACCGCCTCATGCAGAGGGTCGTGGGTCCGATCTGAATCAGGGTTAGCACTCTTGAGTTTTTCGGTATTTATTTGCAAAATTTAATTTGAAATTTACCATGAGCTTTCCGGTGAATGAAAACATCGTAAGGAAACGTGCACACGACTGTAAAGCAATTTCTGGCCCGTGTGGGAACTATTATTTTTTATCTAAACACATATCATAAACTCTCTTGTGTTCAAAAACCATAAATTACGACCAGCATAGAGGTAAACTGTTTTATTAGAACAAATTTCTTATCTGTGAAAATGTTATTATTGCTTCGTAAGAACATCGAATTCGATGTTATTATTACATTCAAATTTCGAACATCTCTGAAAAACAAAACAATTTGATTAGACCTCAATTCTAATATCAGTCAAGATGAAGTTTTATTCGAAATGAAATGTCAATAGCAAACAATTTTCACAATTACACACATTGACTTACAAATTACACACGTTAATAATTGAACGTTAGGATCATTGGAGCAGATTCTAGTTTGTCTATGAATTAAAAATAAAAACTACGGTTGTGTGACATGCGCGAGAAAAGTTTTTATTTGCGCCATTTCGCCGTAACATGCGGTTCCTGAACACATCACAGAGAGCTTAAAATATATGTGTATAGATAAAGCAGTGTATGTAACTAACTGTACATAATTAGGCATTAAAACACTCGTGAGATGTATGATAAATAAATCCTCACACTTATTTAAATGCCTTTCATTATGTAACAGTCACATAAACTACCATTATGTTATTGTTACTATTACATTTCCTTTAACTGTTACTCATACAACTAAATTGGTAGTTGCACTTAATCTAATTAGTCATTCTTTGATAGTTCACTGTTGTCATGGTCGTATTCGTACAATGTATGTACCTAAAATTTATCGTAATGCTTCTTATTCGCGTTCATTAGATACCAAACGGAACAAATATGGAATCACTTGTTACAGCTGATTTTCCCGATAAACACTAAATGGAAATTTGTCAAAAATTCCTTTACTAAACGTTATTTATTAAAGACGTGTTTAGCAATCAAATTTGTTGAAATAAGAAGTGATTTCTTTCCAATGTCACTAAGTTAATACTAGTATCATATTATATAAAGTATTATACATACTGACCCTACGTAGGGGGCTAAAACATAACTCAAAAAATCCCGATAATTAGATTGAATGACAAAATCGAACTTAAAATGTTTATTACGAGAGCAAATAACAATATTAACAGTACTACGAGTAAATTGCTCCAGACAGATTTCCTCATGTATTCAGAAAAAACTGTATAAGACTAAAGTAAAACCTCAATAACGCCAAATCTGCAAAATGACAGCTTTTCAGGAGGGAGATTTCAAGATTCTGTGAACGAAATTAGTGGAAAACTTTTTAATGATAAAAATAAGGATAGTAAAATAAGGAGATAACTCTTTTCATATACGATGCATAGGGCTTATAGGGCGCACCCTATAAGTTTCCGGAACTGGCCACTTACATACACAATATTTAAAAAGTCATTACAACATTTGAAAATGGAGTCTTTGGCTGTATAATACAGTTTGTTTCATCTGACTGTCACTTGATTTTATATTGTGGCGTCATTTTAGAAATTGATTGTCTACATCACCGTGGATTTAACTCGTGAAAATTTTCGTAGTATAATTTTCTACGACTTTAAGTGTAATTTAACAGCTCAGCGGAGCTTTGCTCGGCTTCAAACTTCTTTTGGCGATAAAGCACCATGCAAGACGACGATTCTTCAAACGCCGTCTTGTGAATCTCAGTGACGAAAATCGTGATGATCGCCCGTCCACTGCGGTGAACAACAAAAACATCTATGCTTACATACATACCGTATAACATACATAATAATACAATAAAAACACTACTGACTAATTATTATTTACACGTATTGTCTGCGACGTGTGACGCAACGTGGGTGTCCGATAGCCGGCCTCGGAAACGTCGTTACATGACCCCCTTCGGCCTTATGAGCCATTCCGCGTACAGTCCCGACCTGGCGCCTTGTGACTTTCATTTATTTCCAAAAATTAAGAACCAGTTACGCGGTCAACGATTTTTATCATCTGAAGAGGCTGTCGAAGAGTATGAAATATATGTTTCAGAGATTGTCACGGAGGAGTGGCATAAATGTTTTCAAAATTGGTTCATTCATATGAAAAAGTGCATTAAAGCTAACGGAGAATACATTGAGAAACAATAAATTCATTTCCGACCATTTATAGTATCTTTTTCTTATTAATTCCGAAAACTTATAGTCCGCCACACGTAGTATACTCGTATAGATAATTTGTTTTATGAAACTCGTATACTGTTTTTATGACTTTCGTATTATGATAAAAGCAATTTTGACGTATGTATACTTATGACTTTATTATACCAAGGTATTATTCAACGCAAAATAGGTAAAAATATGTTACGGTAGAATACCGTCGAGCATATATTGTAGTCATTTGTAGTAATTAAGCGTAAAACGAATTCAGACAAATGTTTTACTTTATTGTACGAAACGACAGTAGGTGAATTCTATAAAACTTCTTAAGAAAATTCTTCAATTACAGATAGTTGCTCTAGCAGACACTGCGTACTGCGTATGGTCGGCCATCATGTTGCCCCTGGTGCAGATCAAAATAATCACCGCATTTATCATCGTGGCCATCATGGCGCTGTTCGAGACGTTTTGCGCTTGCTTGCTTATTTGCGGAGTTTTTATGGTGAGCCCATACCTTCTACATTTATGCATGTTCGTGATTATCTTCAGCAGGATTCCTCCACAAAATGTAGAAAACCATAATGTATGGTCTTGGGCCGCCTGCCCAACCTGAGTCTTCTCCCGTCCTTCTACAGGTCGTCAGTCCTTATAAGAGGAACATATTATAAGCTGGAAAAGCAGAAGCCACAGAACTTAATTGAACTGCAGCAATTATCACGACAACCTTCTTTTGAAATGAAACTATTTTTCGGATCTAAACCACGTATATTTCTTTTCTTTTTCAAACAAGCTACAGATTCGGGCCCTTTACAGGTCCCATGGTCACAACTGACAAAACGCCGGATTTTATTCGCAACATCTAGTCCGTAATGCCATAGGTTTGTTAAAAAAACAAACATACGCGATTTATATTCGAAAAATAATTTAATTTCCTATGTAGGACAATCGCGAAAACAGAACTGGATTCTTATTTTAGTTTTCTACTTGCATCATTCTTTTTGCGGACGTTCATAGAGAACTAAACGATTACTCTAAAGAATGCAGACAAAGTTTATTCTGAAACCCAATTACGACGAGGCGGTTGTGATAATAAAATACCATCATTATTTATGTAGTATTGAAAATATTGTTAATATAGGTAATTTTATGGTTCTAGTTCTACGCATAAGTCGCGTAAAAAAATCAAGTTCATTATAAATAATAAAATGAACATTAAATAGGAGTTCTTAAAGCATTGTAGTTGAACTCTCTTGAACCGACTTCAAAAAAGGAGGCTCTCAATTCGCTGTATGTTTCTTTTTTTATATGTATGTTACTCGATAACCGGCTTGGGAACTGATTTTGATGATTCTTTTTTTTAAATGTTTTATGGAATGTCAGGATGTTTCACCACCATGATGTTCAATTATGTTTTGTAAAATTACTCCACTTATTTGTTATAATTATTAATTAAATTGCCGAACACTTAGGTATTCTTTTTTCTTTTTTATCTTTTCTTCTTCACTTTTTGATTCTTTTTGTGTTGGAAAGAGGGTAATTTCACGCACTTTTGAGGTCGGTTTTTTAGTAGTCCTTACTGAGATTATAGTATGCCCTGTTTGATTTATCGTATATTTACTTTTCAGAAAAAGGCGAACTTCACAGTCCCCTGGCTTGTTCTAGCATGGGTGAAAAGTATCGCCTGTCTAGTCGTGGCGGCTTTCGGCATCGCCGTCCTTGTGCTGAAGCCCGATACTCTCCATAAATCCGAGGGTCCCGCTCCAACTCCTAGTAATTCTACCGTTGATTTACCGACAAATGTGACAGAGTCAGTCGATACTTCAGCACCGGACGTGCCAGCTAACACTATCGACAAGACCACAATTTTTATTGTAATTGTCGCTGCATGCATCTTGCAAGCTTGTGAGTTTTACATTATTCAGTCATACTTTTTATTGCATTATGTGGTACAGAAAGGTCGTGTCAACTTTTGTTTCAGGGTGACGGGTCCAGTGGCAGTGTCACTCAGATCTTTGCGATTTAAAGCTCTGAATGGCACTGCAACTGTTATGGGCAGACGTGTCTCTTATCATCAGGCGCACGATTTGATCGTCCTGTCACTTGGTATCGTAAAAAATAATCCTGTAAGGGAAATGCAATTTAACTTACTTCACTCAATACATCACATATATTTTCATAATCGAAAGTAAAGTCCTGCAAATAATTAGAACAATTAATACAATGTGCGGTGATATCACAGAGTAAAGAATACTGTGATCTGGGAACGATGTGGTTTGTAATAAGCAGAGACAAAAACAGAGAAACGCCTAAATTAAGTATTATAATATAATATAAGTAAAGAAATGCCATAGTTAAAATTACGCATATAGAGCACATGAACTTTTTCAGTTCATCTGAAAATGATCGTCCTCTTCCAATATAAATGGTGCTGTTCTCAAACAATGTGAGGAAATAAAGAAGAATGGAAGAGAATGTATACAAATAGTAGAAATTTTGCTTCTTGTTATAAATGAGGCGGAGTACTCATTTTCGTGAAAAAAATATAAACAATACAAAAAATAGAAATAACAAAAAAGAACTTCAAAGTACTTTCGTTTATTTTACCGCCAATTTTAAATTATATCGAGCAGGCACAGAAATCTAAATAAATGTAATTTCTGTGAAAGGTGGTGCAGATATTAACATTAATATTCGTGCACCATATTTCTTTTAATAAGTTTGCACCCATTTATTTGGGAAGGCAAGGGTTCTACTATACAGCCTCTTCATATATTATTGTGCACCATAATTAAACGCAAAATACCTTACACGTTAACCTATATGTATACAATATTTTTTGATTCTCGCAATTACGGGCACTAATGCTAATGAGCAGTTGGCTGTATGACACTTTTTTGTTTTACGAAAAGTTTGAGAAAAAAATTCTTACAAAAATCATAACGTCCAATATCTACGACCTGTACCTACCACTGATGTACAATCAATTTGTGACTATTTGTGAGCTATTTGTTCGTCGTGCACCTATTCCATGCAACTTTCCTAGAAGAATTGCATAAGTTTCTCTGTCACAAATACAATAACAATGCAACAGCGTACTTCCGGTTATTAATTACATTTAGAATTTCATTATTATTGTCAGGCATAGAGAAAGTATAGTTGATCTTTTTTACGAAAACCATTGTGACGGTCCCCGTGTACATTATTGTTTTCGCAAAATGAATTAAAACGCTTTGCCATTGCAGTTTAATAATTGTTCAACAATGTAGATAAAAGAGCTGCTAGGTGAAAATTTTCATAGGGAGGCCGATGTCATAGTTTATCATCGTGATGTTATTGTTCAAATACAAATATTTTTGTTATAATATTAAGTGACGGGACGAACAAGTCATGCGACTGATGGCAAGCTACACGCCTGTCCGTAACAGTTGCAGTGCCACTCAGAGCTTCATCGTAACGATCGAGGCACTGCCACTGCGCCCGTCACCCCGAGATATAAATTGACAAATCCCATGTACCGGTAATTTCACCAGCACTCTTACCCTTCAAAACCGGAACACAATAATTCTGACATTACTGTTTGGCGGCTGAAATAGGCAAGTAAGTTAAGTAAGTAAGGTAAGTACTTCCCTGGACGAACTCTTTCACAAGGAGCTCTACTGCTACAAAACCATCAAACCTATACTAAACACGTGTAACCCGTGAAATTTAGTACCTATACAAATTATGCATTGGTGTACGTACTATGTTTAGTGAAATTTACTTTTTGAAGTGGCTTCACTTCAAAAAGTTTCATTATTACATGGATATCCACATTCCTATGGACCTACCATATAAAATATATCGCACCTTTAGAATGTAAGTGACCTAATTCAAAAAATGAAGAAAATGAGTATACTGTAAAACGAATTGGAAAATCATTGCGCATAATGTTAAATTGGAACCGGCGAGTTTTAAATTATAGACAGTCTGTGCCAAGGTTCGAATGGCATAGACTCTCTATATCGGTCTCTATATCAGTAATATGTTTGAAATTACACTTCCGCGTCGATATATAAATGCCATATTTAGTGTTCAATATGTATTTACAAAAACAAACCGCCACCACCGTTGGAGAAAAGGTGACGGATTAGCAATTGAGCTGTTTTCGTTCCGGAAATAATCATTATTTTTTTTACAAACGCGACTTACTTTATTACTTGGTGGACTTCTTTCACAAGTTAAACGATTTACTCTTGATAAGGTCATATCTTACTTAGCTGGTGAAAATGAAAGAGACAATTATTTAAAGTTCTGCTAAACGACAACAAAAAAGTTCAGTAAAAAGAGTCCTTACAGTTTTTGTAAATTATATTTCTAAATTGTTAAACATTAAAATAAACGTAAATACTTTCGGGATATAAAGCTGAAGCCCGAAGCTCGAAGCCCTTTTAGTACTTCAAGAGTAAAAATGTCACAACTTCAAAACTTATTTTGCGTATTCCCAAAAAGTTGGTATTGGGTCACTTTCATTCTAAATGTGCGTATGTATAGGTAATCAAGCCAAATTAAGAGCGATGCACGCCTTGGGTAGTTGCACGCGGTTCTTTCCAGTTCCTACTTTTTTACCTCCTACGAGCAGTCTTCTAGAAGTTACAATACAATCCATTAAATGTTAATATCTAATGTCAATTCCAGTTCTACTGATGTACTTCGCCTGCGTGGTGAACAGTCGTCGGAAGAAGATCAGAGACGACGACTACTCACAGTACATGCCCGTCCGTACAGATTCCATTAGAAACGTCTATGTCCCCATCACTCAACAGATGCAGGCCCGACGCTATGGTCACACTTCGTAAATATTATTAAAAATAAGTTATGAAACTATTTTTCCGGATTTAAATCGCGTATATTTGTTTTTTCAAACAAACCGACGTTTCGGACCCTTTATAGGTCCCATGGTCACGGTTGACTGTGTCACAGTCAAAAAGAAAACAGTCAAAAGTCAAAAGAAAAATAGTTTCATTTCCTATGTGTAACAATCGCGAAAACCTAAGAACTCGATAAAAATAAGTTATAAGAAACCTCTATAAAAACCTATTAGAAGGAATAAAAGAAAAGAAAATCCAAGCATAGTTTTTTCTACTACGTAAGTACTTTTGGAACAAATCAAAGGAAAACTGAATGCTTCGAATAGGTAAAGAGGTTAAAGACTGAACTTCGTTCACTTCACACATGAGCTCATACAAACGAAGAAATTATTATATTTACCATAAAAATCATGATATAGTTATAGTACGAAATAATATTTGCATCGATTCGTCTTATCGCTTTATCTTTCGCGTACAGTAGGACAAAAGGGTGAACCGTAACGGACGTGCCATCTGTATAGTGCAAACAATGCTGAATCAGTAAAAAAGCGTCGATAGTCAATATTTTAAGAAGTACCTACGCACAGTTTACAAAAACGACCTATGTGTAAAGAAATAGTTCAAAGCTAGAATTAACTAGAAAGAGTATTAACTATTTAACTATTACCCTCGGACCAAGATCATTAATTCCATGTACGCTCAAATCAAAAGAAGTGTGGTTTTGTTACCCTATTGTAATATAATACAAATGATAAACCGTTCAAAATATAACATTCATCGGTGCAAATAATATTCTTCAACTATAACATCGAAATTCAGCCAGAAGTTCAACATGTAAAAAAAAGAAAAATGTTTGACATTTTTTGTACGATCTCTCTCTCCTTCTCTATTTTCAGTTAATATTCATGTAAAATTAGTCAATTATAATTTATGCTTTATCTGTATAAAAAATGAACAAATAAATAAGTGCAATGATGTAAAATTAGTGCAATATAATAAATACCAAAATTAGTAATATAAGTACCTATTGTAGTTTTATGTTGACTGGTTTTTAAGTCCTTTCAAAGCCCTTTGTAAAGCGCAGGTCATACATATCTCGACCGAAGCTAAATTAATCTATTGCGTATTTATTTAAATTTCTGTGTTAGCTCACGTAGCTGTATGCATAGCTAAGCTAAAAAAAATACGGAGCCGTAGTCACATGCTGCCACTCGACGCTAGTTTTTCGTTCAAAGCAGTAGCCGTACTGATTCATTTCCACAAATGTATATTATAATCGTATGGTTTACAAATAGTAAAATCGTCAAATCATTTCAGTAGCGCCATTTCTTTCTCAGAGCCATTGGTATTGTGTACTTGCGTTCGCACGATGCTACAGTGGTTGGGTAGTTAGCCCGCATAGTTCATTTAGCTGGTTGTGAATATATTTATGAAAAATGCCGCGACTACGTAAGTTCAGCTAACTTAGCTGCTTAGCGCTTAAGGAGAATATTTTTTACTCAGTGAGTTGAAGATTAATTTTTATAAGTCTTAGGATCGTATTCTAGAACTCTACTCAATGCTCAAGTCAGGATTTCAGCAGACTTGAGTATGATTTCAAGCACTGGAAATACGACCCTAATGTCAAGGACTTGAGTATGGTTTTCAGAGCTCACTGCAATACTCAAGTCCTGACTTGAGTATCGAGTAGAGTTCTGGAATACGACCCTTAGAAGCGCAAGGGCGCGACCGTTTCATGCCGTAATAGTAAAAGCATTGTCCTAAAATACAATTCCATACGTTTTATTTACCTCTTAAATCGTAACGGCCAAGCGTATCGTACTGTTTATTATTAAAGAATTATTTTAACATTTGTTATTTCTTTACGTTTTATTTCCTACTTCCAGAATTTACAGGCAACGGTAGGTACTAAGTACCTACTATATACCTTTACTTACATAATCGCCTCGAGGATAATGTGATAGATGTTAACCATTTAAAAAAATGTCTTTGTTATTATAAAACTTACACTTAGAACATTTTTATACAAAATTATATACAACAAAAAGCCATACATGAAGAAAGTGTCATAAATCTGTGTACCGATTCTTTTCTACGGAGAAAATCGCACCTTTAGTATATAAGGCCACATTTTCAAAATGAAAACTTTCCGGGAAAGAGATTTAGAGATGCTATGAACGAAATTAGTCACCGACTTTTATACTTTTCTTACTATTGAGGATACTTATTGACCGATTTCAAAAAAGGAGGAGGTTCTCAATTCGAGTGTATGTCTTTTTTTCTTCTTCTTTGTATGTATGTTACGCGATAACTCTGGTATTTGTGAACCGATTTTCATGATTCTTTTTTTGTTGGAAAGGGGGTACTTCCTTAGTGGTCCCATTTTATTTTGAAGAAAATCATCCACCTCTAAGGGTGGCTGTTCACGCAAGAAAATTCATTTTTATAAATAGTGCCTAACTTTAATTTAGGAGCAATTATTTTAATGGTTGATTTTGCTATTTCTCCAATTCAAGGTGTTTTTCTCTCAATATACTTTGAGTAGTGAGAACCGGTTTTTATTATCTCCAGTGTCAAGTCCTGTATAGTGGCGAACTAGGGGATATTTCAACAAAACTTGACAAATAGACGTAATTCCACGTACTTTTGAGGTCGGTTTTTTAGCACTCTGTACTGAGATTATTTTATAAATATATAATTTGTTTCATGTAGTTCGTATTAATTTCATGTGATAAAATACTTTTGACGTATGATTACATTATATTATTGGAGCGGCTGGGAGGTTTTGCAACCTATTACTCCTCGTTAGGGCCGTGTACGCTGGAGGTGTACGTCGCCAGGGGAATATTCACACGCAACCAAATCACTTAAAATAATGCGGTTTTTAAATGAAAAAATGTCCGTCACCGTAAGAACAGCGTAGCATCTCGATCTTGTTTTATTTCTTTTTTTCTTTTTCTCGAAGTGGTCGCGGCGAGGTGACCCAGCAAATACGAAGCCAGCGCACTCTAGTGGCGACTTCTTATCTTCTATTCCCTTTACTCAAAGGCATTTTGACGCAGTGAAAAAAGGGAGAGAGAAATATTCGATGCTATGCATTACTAATGAAATTAAAGTATCACCAAAGAAGCGGGTATTGGTTTGAATGCGAAAGTAAAACATAGCCAATAGAAATTATATGGGAATTCATGTATGGCGTTACCAATTATTATACCGGCGGCATTATCCCAAAGCAAAACGCCGTATGTTATTACATGAAACTGTGATAATAGCTGAAGTAAACCAGTCCAGCGGCTTCGACCCCTGAAAGTTTTCATGTTTTTTTTAAATCGTGTACACTTATACTACTACTCACACAATGGCTTACTTAACACAGATTTAAAATCCACTCTACTCGCACTAGGGAAACCCTGTGTCGCGCCATGTACACACACATAGACAACCACAAATTGCACCCGAACTAACGAGAGAAATAAATGTAGGCCATACAAATATTTCTCTCTAGGACCTCTGCGTGGCTATCCAGCATGGTAATCGTTCGGCCATGGAGGCAGTTATTATATAGGCAATTATTATTGGTAGAACTGATTTAAAATCCTTTCATTGTAGGAGGCCACAGAACAATAAAAGAGCTCGTATCCGACAGGAGGATGTTGGAACATTGATTTGGCGCTCGCTAGTAACATGTTATCGTGAATAACTTGAAACCATTATAATCACCGATATCGGCGCCCGCGCGCCGGCAAGAGCAAACAATCCGATACGATACCAACGATAAAATTTTACCACTACAATGGTATAATGAATTACTTGCGACGCACTCTTTCAACGTGGTAAATGTCTCACTAATTGCTTTGTTATTGAAGGAATGTGAATGTTAAGTGATGTGAAGTGACAAGTTTTGTTTCAGTGAAGCCATTGATGAGTCAGAGTAATTGGAGCTGTATATATGTATACAGAGCCATTTAGAAAATTCTAACAACCAGGACTATATTACTAACAACATTTTTTGATCAATGACTTAATAATTCATCAGATTTTAATTTCATACAAAAATCAGAATAAATAAATAGATGGCTTAAAACAGTGATAACTCTGTGCTGTAACAAAATCAACGGGGGTGCGGTTCGTCGAGGAGGACGCTTTGCACGATAGAACTTCCAACCTTACTACCAAATACAGATCTAATCATTATGAGTTTTGAGCAAAAATTCGTGGAATTTTATTTACTTATTTGCCAAGTTTTTTTGAAATCGGTTACCGGAAATTGTGCTGGATTAATCCCCTTAGAGGCGGAATATTTTCTTCAATTTTAAATGGGACCAATACTGAAGTACCCTTTTTCCAACAGAAAAAGAATCATCTAAAAGAGGGCATTCATTATCCCGCAATGCAGGTTTAGAATGTAGTCGCAGCGTACAGCTACCCTACAATCCTGTAAATTCTGCAATGCGTCCTGCGAAGCGAAACTTCATACGTGGGCCATGCGCAGGATTGTGTGAGTAGTCTCCTGCCTGGGAGGCGGCTTAATCGGTTCACAAATGCCCGAGTAATCACGTAACATACATACAAAAAAAAACAGTCTAATTGTAGTGTGTAGTGTAGTGGACCCTAATACCCACTCAGTTTTAGGGTCCACTGAAAATCAGCGTCACAGCCGTTTCTCGGTGGTGACATTAGTTGAGCGGATCCTTTTACATACGCCACAGCCGCACACATGACATCTACTTAGTACACAATAGTGTTGACTATCTTTGTGGTCATTTCATTACCTATTACTAAGATTTTATTTTTAATTAAATTTATTTCGTTTTTTTTTGTTTTGTTATTCTATTTTATTTAAGTTTTAATTAACCGTATCTTTTTTAAATTTTTTACTGTGTATTATTGTGTGGTGGCGTTATGTAATAAATGGTTTCTATTCTATTATATTAATTAAGAACCGCCTCCTTTTTTGAAGTCTGCTAAAAAGTGTCAGATAGTGTAACAAAAACTTAAAAGTCTATTTTGGTAAATTAATTACGTTTTGTGTAAAAATTATGGAACGAAAGTTGTTGTTTATGATGTTACTTTTGTTTTATAATACCAAATGACGAGACGAACAAGACGTGCGCCTGGTTATAAGCGACACGCGTAGCGTAGTACTTGCAGTGTCGCTCAGAGTTTTAAATCGCTAAGATCACTGCCAATACCCCGTCATTCTGAGACATAAGGTGACCAGTCCATGTGCCTGTAATTTCACTAGCACTCTTCAAAACTGGAACGTAATAATGTACATATTACTGCTTGGTGGCAGAAATAGGTAAGGCAGCAGTAGGTTCTTGTCCGGACGAACTCTATCACAAGCAGCTCTTCTGCTATATTAGTAATACATATAGTCCTGGTTGTTAGCATTTTACGAATAATCCTGTATAATTATTATGCATTTTTAAAATATGATTTTTAATTTAATTGTATAAGTCAGGAACATATTTACAATGTTGGTTGACAAAACTATGAGAAACCAACATATTGTTGAGAAAACGAGTTTATTAGCAACGGTCAGTGACTTAAAGTATTAAAAATGTGACAAATGTTGAATAAACTTTCAATAAACGCGATTGAAAAGTTATTTACTGATTGAAAGTGTTTTAAGTAATAAACTTATTAATAAATAATATAAAATGTGTTTACCTGTAAATTTCTGTTGTTGTTGTTGCGTCAGTCTTGAGACTGGCACTCAAATAATCAGCATTTGCAGCACTGTAAGTACTTTAATTTAGCTATAACATATATACTTTAGTTATAGATATAATACGCACCCTTGGTGTAATAAAGTCACAACTGCAAATTAACATCTTTTCGGTAGAAACGTTTAAAGGCCCTACGAATGAAATCAGTCGATAACTTTTTATGCTTAAGTAGGAGAGTTATAAAATTTCACACGTACCTATAGGTACATAATATAAACATATAGTTCGTATTATTGTGATGACTTTCATGTTATGATGAAAGCACTTTTAATTTATTATCACTTATGGCTTTATACTACAGAGGGCACGAATCTAAAATAAAGTTAAAGAAAATATGTCAACTTACAAAAATTTGTGTAAACACAGTTTCGAAAATATGGTAAAAAGTCGTGTATGAAAGCATTGATGCGTGTTGATAAGGCGAAAGATGTGCGTCACGATCTTGGCAAGTGCAAAGCTGCAATAGGCTATCTTTACCTACCCCATAAGAAAAAGGGCGTGAAATGTCAGGGCGTTTCGTTCGTCCTATATAATAACAATTGGTTATAAAGGATAATACAACATATATGGTGAGAGTTCTAGTTAATTAAAAGAACTGTCTTCAACGATACTCCAACTACCGAATGTTAAGATGCGCCTCTATAGAACAGTAAGATAGAACACCAAGCCTTACCTCCCGATATTTCAGCTGCCACGACTTAAATATGTGGAATAACCATCTACTAACTAACTAACTTAAGTACAATATCTGCGAACACTCAATACAATCAAATTCAAATAATTATTTATTCCATAGGTAAAATTTTTACACTCGAAAACGTCATTTTATAAGCTACTGCAATCAAGCTGCTATTCACCCATTAATAAAGAAACGATCTTCGTATTTTCTGCTTATACAAGTTTTAAAATGCTCTTGTCAAGGTAGACCTGCATTTAACAAAAAGAATAATCAAACCATGTCTTTCAATATTTTTGCGACTATTCAAGCTTAAAACTAGTAAGGACTTAGGCTTAAATCTGTTAGCGAATTGTATGAGAACGATACCACAAACCTTACATCCCTAGTAATAAATCACCAAACCTTACACCCCGATGTGCTACTATTCTTGTTTAATAAACATCTGTGTGATAATTCTCCAAGAACGTCGATAAAAAGTCCTATATGATATGCCGCTGAGAATAATGAGAATAGATTTGAATCACCAAACTTTACCAATGAACTCCCAATATTCCAGCTAGTATCCACGTTGCTGACAGTGCTATATGGCTTTGCTTCCACTCTGCCAAAGCAGCCAGAGAGCAAGATGCTATTTTATGGCGCCATGGCGGCTACAGCTACGTGCCACAGTGGGACCGGGTGCTTCTTGATTTATGGAGCTTTTTGGGTAAGTCGTACCAATTATTGAGAAACATGAAAAAGTAATGTAAACATGCGGTAAACACATTATTAAGCTATAAATTCCCTTATTTTATGTGTCAAAATTGTCTAAACTTACTGAACAACTAACTACTTATAAGTAACATTAGGGAGGTGACCGGCGAATTCGAAGTCAATTAATTATCTTTCACAGTTTTTCATCGCAATTAACTCTGTACAGCATTTCGCACACTATTGAGGGTGTCAAAACCGAATTTTTTTAACAAAGGCGCACGACATTCGTCCCATTACTATGTATCATAAGATAAAAGTACATAGTCAACTTGAGTTAAAATCAAAAGCGATCATAGAGATGTTCTGTTGAAAGTCAACCCCATTTCTCATCCTGTGTTTGGAGATATATGGTGGATTCTCTTACTTTTATATCTACAGCAGTCACATGTATATAAAAAATTCATATTTGATTTTCATCCCGTCACTTGGTATAATAAAAAAATTGTATTTTCAAACAATTTCACACAGTTCTTTATAGGTTCCATGGTCAAGGCTGATAGTAAAGGGTCCGAAACGTTAGTAAAACAAACATTTTGTTTGCGTCCGAAAAAATAGTTTCAATTCCAATAAGTATCAATCCCAAAAACCTAAAATTTCGATATGACATTATTAAAATTTCTATAAAATAACATGTCTTTTTCCAAAGTTTTTCTGTTCCTTCATTCGAGTGTTTGAATAATATAAAGAATCAAAATATTATCATTATTAGGTATACGACTGTCAGAGTTTGCGATAGGTTTTTATTTATTGCTCTATTAATCATAAGTAATTCGTTGATGCAAAAATTTGGTACTGAGTTTAAGTTGATGACTTTGAAAATCATAATCAATATGATGTTCCGTGGTTACTTCCCTGATCCAAAGTGATCAATTATATCTAAATGCTCAGATAGGGAAACCTAAAATATCTACTTTAAAATGTACTTTATATAATTACTATTTTCAAGTCTAATTTCGAATAGTAAGGTTGATTTTGTTAGATATACAGATATTTCGAGTACAATCAAACCATTTTGACTTGGTAGAAATAATTAGTTGGGTAATTATAGTTTACCTATATTATTTACATTACAATGCTGATTAGACCAGAGTCTCTCGGGTTTCACCGAAATACCAAGACCAAAGTTCAAAGTTCTTTAATTTCAAATAATCATTTAGCCCATAGGTACAATTTTACAATTGAAAACGTCACTTTTTTAAGCTACTGCACATTCACTATGCTGAATTCCCTGAGAAGAACAAGCAAGAAACTCTAGAGATTGTTTTTTTCACATAAACTTAAATGCTATGCACTTTAAATCATAAAAGTTGCACATTGACTTATTACTACTATTATACTTAAGCAATTGTATTGTATTTTAGTTGTAATTTTATGTGCAATAAAGAATATTTCATTCATTTATTCATTCATTCATATTTTTGTTGAATCTAGACTCATTTATGTTGTAAAGATCCATAGGTATCCGGCTCGAATGACCAAAATGTATGTAGTAAATATCCATAGGTCGCTGGTTCATATCCGGCTCGAAGGACCAAATGTAAGGGCAGAATAACGACTCTGTCATTACAGGTTGTTACCTCGTGATCGCGACACGGTAACCGTTATCACGAGGGTGTTTTCGGAGTGGTTGAAGGAATTAGATAATGTTATAAGTGTAAAATTTATGTTATTTAGTTGCAAATTAAAAATGTATAATATGTTGATGTTAAATATTAAATGTTACTAAATGTTAAAAGTTAATGTTATGGATGTTGGTAACTAACTGTCTTAAAAATACAATAAAATGTTATAATGCGATTTATCACATCAACAAAATAACTAGAACTAGCACATCTCTTACTACTTACAGCAAAATGAAACTAGAACTAGACCATGTCAATACAGTAAATTAAAGTTCAATGTTGTACGTAACCATACACTCATGTCGTCTTTCCATACATCTTTATCTAACACGTATCTAGTCTTCAATTTTGTAATATGACCTTCCACTTAAAATATATTTAATGCAAGTTTTAACCTCAGGAAATAATAAAAAACGATCGTGGTACCATGAATTTGGTCTTAGTTCTATGGTTAATAAATATCCATATTGGATATCTTCTTTCTTAATTATGTACATTTTTCTGGGCATACAAAATATTTCAGTAAATGTACTATAATGCCACGTCTTGTTACCAATCTCCTTAATTTTTCTCTGAGAGAAATCCGAGACCCTAAACAGTAAACAGAACAGAAAATATATGTCGCAAACTGCCTCCGTTTCCATGCTAGACTGCCACGCAGAGGTGCCGTTCGATTTCGTTCGGTTCGATTCCCGGACCGGGAGAAATATTTGTATGGCCTACATTTATTTCTCTCGTGCGTTTGGGTGTAATTTGTGGTTGTGGGTGTAATTTGTGGTTGTCTATGTGTGTGTCTATGGCACTCGCGACACAGGGTTTCCCTAGTGCGGGGCTAAGTTAAGTGTGTGCGTTAAGAAAAGTCGCAAAATTGAAACCTTTTTCCTTATTTAGGGATTGTGAATTTATAAATCTACTACGAGGAAGTGTATGATTTAACGTAGATAAGCACTCACATGCGACAGCTTTGTTATCTGTAGCCTTGACCGATTCCGATGTAAAAACACCTCGTTATTCATAGAATCAAAATATCGTTTGATTCGTAAAATGTTATCCTATGTTATACGTATTTGCAATTACAAATTATCAAAAAGTCAATACGGTGAATGCAGGATAGCCAGCATTGGCCAGCATGTGTAAGAAAACTTTAATCATTACAATATAGAACAGTACCTTTGCCACCAAATATCACATTATGAAACCTACCCTGTATAATAAAATCACTTGTGATCACACATCAAAAATGCTTTTAACAAATGGGTCATAAAAATACAGACTATGTCAGGTGGGGTAAGAGGAACACCGGGGGAAGAGGGACTGAAGTCCATAATATCTAAAGAAAAACGTTTAGCACTATAGTCTTTCAGTCGATAAAACAGACAAACAAATTAGTTTTAACGGTTGTAAAGAGATGTCGGTACGATGTTCCAAATTTGAGAGAGAGAGAGAAAAAGAAATTGACAGCTATGTAGTCTGAAAACACAAGATGGGCGCGTAATTTTTTCTTTGCTAGATCTCGGTGAAAAAAAGTGCTGGGGATTATTTTTATAGAAAAACACGTAGAGAAAACGGTAAGTTTTAGTTTTTATTAGTTATTTCAGACCGAAAACAACAAATAATACGAGTTTCATTGGAATCAAAATCCTAACCGCCAAAAACATTGTTGGGGTAAGAGGGTCTAGTACTTATGGGGTAAAAGAAACATATGTTCCTCTTCCCCCGTGTCAGGGGTGACAAACTTTTCGATGAATTGCCATAACGGAATATTGTTATATTCGAACAAACACAACTTTATCCGTATATATTATATATTATTATGTTATACCTGGGTATATACTTTAAAGAAATTAAGTTAAATTTGTTCAAATAACGTTTTGGATAGGGTAATTGTAAATTTTGGTAAAATTTTAGTGACTTCGTCCACATGATGTTGATTTCTGATGATGTTACAATAATTACACCACTACAATTTTATATGTAAACAACCACACATCTTAAGATAGTTTTAAGGCCAGCAACAAAATTCTGGTAGTAAATTTTTCCCGTCAGGAATTTTTAGAAAATTTTATATTTTAGTGGAAAACTAAAAAAAATTTACATAAGCTCTAAAATAATGACGTAATCTAAGAACAAACACAAAAATTTACGCTCATTGCACGTTAACTAGTGATCACACCACTTCTATACCAAATTTCAATTGATTTAGTGGAACGGTTTTCAAAGTAGAGTGGTTTTGGTGACTATTATATACTATTGGAGAATAATAAATTTTGTAAGAAGTATAAATTAATTTTTGGACCAAATGTTGTTTTTCTATTATGACAATGTTTAAAAAGTACTTAAGTTACTTAATGTGCTGTTTTGTAAACGAGTGGTTTAAAATGTGCGTTTATTATACTTTGTACATACTAAAAAAATTATAACAGATTCACTTTTTTAATTTGTCACCCCTGACCTCTATGTTCCTCTTGCCCCAAAATTAATTTTTCACCTTTTTATTGAGAAGTATGCGCTATTTCAATGATTTTAAGATTAAATACGAATTAAATAGTTTTACTAAAGGAATTAACAACGGATATATTTAAATATACATTGCATTTATATGAAATACGATGAGAGTTCCTCTTACCCCGTTTTTTGGGGGAAGAGAAACGTTAGCACAACCTGAATGTTTTTGTCAGATACATCGTAAGTATTAATTTTAGCGTAATGATTGTTAAAACATGGAAAGCTGATAAACCAGGGCAAGATTAGAGCATTCGAAATTCGTATAAGACATTATTTATTCCTCCTAGAGCTCATAACATTTGTCTCGAAATAAAATATGTTCCTCTTACCCCACCTGACTTTACATTAAACAAATCATTTATCGTATAGATCTGAGGAATGCGCCGCGCATGTACGCAACGCGCACGCTGTTCGCATATTGCACGCGCGCTGCACGCGTGCTGCATGCGTGCAATTATTTACATATTAATATATGTGACGCGCGAGGGGTGCACCAACGACACGCGAACAGATCACACAACGTAATTCACGTGTGCAGCTCGCGTACCTTTCGTAAACAGGCGCATTTGCGGCGCATACGCCAGATGTGTACGCACCCTAACATATTAGGTGGAATTTTATAACTCTCCTATATATGTACAAAAATATATAGACTATTTAGAACCTTTTAATGACTCTCCTGAAACGTTGTCATTTTGTAAATGTGGCCTTATTACACCACGAAATATGGAGTGACAATAAAGATGTTCTATCCTTCTGAAAACTTTTTTCTAGAATTTATACCTCATTATTTCTTTTTTTTTAACATTGTTTCTATATCTGTCCCTATAGAAGAAGCCCCGCTGGATGTGGCCGTGGATTGTTCTGTCCTGGTCGTGGAGTGTACTCATGCTGATAGCAGCCATCGCTGGCTTTGCTCTGTTGCACTATAACGACGTAAACGTTGATGATGACGTCAACTACGTCATATCTGCATACATACTTTTTTCTGGTGAGTGGTGAAAACAATAATATTCACAAACGTTTATTTCAAACCGTAATAAATCCATAGATAGACAAAATTTTGAACTAGCAATTAAATAACTTGTAATTTAAAAAAATATATAATAGAATAAGTAAATCTTTGGTAGCTGTGAAGGATGGATGATTTGGTAGCTGAGGGAATGAAGGAAAACTTTCACCAATTTCTCACAGGTGTGTTAACCAAAAAAGCCGTTAAAACCAAAAAAACAAAATTCCTAAAGTCTGCTAACTCGATCTGTAGCTCAGTTGGTAGAGCGACTGTAGCGGTTGACCTAGATTGCTATACAGACACAGGTTCGAGTCAAATCAAAAGAAAATTTCCTTGTATAATCATCAAATACTTTAATAAATTAGATAGTGACAATAAAATCTAAACTATAATTGTCATAATGATTAAATAACAGAAATGAAAAAAAAACCAAACCAACAACATTATCATTGAAAATGAAATTTGAAAAAAATACACTAAATATAAAATTTCAATTTAACTTTAAAAAATAAAAATTAAGTTAAATTAAATAAAAAATGTGGGTCTGGGTGAGGAAGTCTATGTTCGCTACAACAGTCATTGATGCTGTTGGGTCGCCACGCGCACATCGCCAAAGTGCAGCCTAACTTTGGCCCGCTTCCTCAGAATGCTATGACAGTCTTAGCTACAGTATGCGACTACCCCAACAATATTCTAAACGTGTTGTGGTAGTCTGTATCCTAAACCTAAGGGTGTTTAGGGTTACCTTAATATTTTTAACTTCACTTATAGGTAGAAGATTGAATAATTGTCTTTCTACACCAGTTTTTATTAGAAGAAATTACCTTTTGGAAGTATGTGTACACATGTAAATGTCATGGATTAGCTATCCAATTTGTTTTGCACGCGTGGGTTCCGAGGCGGAGGGTGGAACCTTTGTGGATAAGCTAACATTCGTAAAATCGAGGTTTAGAAATACCCCAGAACCTTTGGAATGACGCTTTATGATTTAATATTTCACTGCCAAGTAGTACCACGCTACATGCGATGGTGAAAAGACCCCCCACCCAACTAATCCCCAGAATAAGGAAAACCCAACCAGAGAATTCAAACTTTCAAACCTAGAGATCGAGTGTAGGCTCGTAATTACACGTCAAACCGTAGATGGGAGTTTGGCGTAGTAACACGACGCTTCAGACGGTTCAACTACGACTTATAAATGAATAACGGCTTTTGTATGGGCTCGCCACATAGACCAAATTCTGGTAACTCCTCTGGTACTGAACTCTGGGACTGTTACTTAGCAACTATCCTTGTTGTTTACTTAATTTGAATTTCTTGTTTTACATACATAATAGACACTTAAGGGTAAATCGTATTTCGTAAATAATACCGTGAATTTTAATCCGAGCTATTTTATTTCGAAAATATTAGTCCTCATTCATCAAATTCCTTTTGATAAGTAGATTGGTATATGCAACGCGTCATGTCCAGGGCGTCCCCCTGTGAAGTGCAACTGATATCTACTTACATTATTACATTGCAATTATTATTTTAAATACGAAACAATGAATAACTAAAGCCGAGATTCAGATTTACAGATTGTAAACAAATAACTTTGTAATTAAATAAAGTTTTATAAATTAAATTCTCATTGGAAATGAAGTTTCATTTTCATGTTATATAGTTATATATCCGGATTTAAATCGCGTATATTTATTTTTCTTTGTCTCTTATATTGGGCAAACGAACCGAAGTATTTCTACCCGCGTCAATGAACATACCTATATAGCTGATGTCAAACACTGTCCCGTAACTAAGTCTGCAGTCTGCGAGCATATCATGGATAAACCTACACATTCAATGAAGTTTAACAAACCTCAGGTCCTTGCAAAAGAAGTCCGTTATCTACCCAGTATGCAGCGAGAGGCCATTCAAATTAAAAAAACATCCTAATTTCAACAGAGAAGATGGTTTCTCCGTACGACCAATTTGGGATCCAGTATTTCCAGTATACTATCTTATGAAAAATCCCAAACAGACATAAAACTGCAGTACTAATTAATATGTTTTAATTGATTCTAATTTCCATTATTAATTAATCATAAATGTAACTTAATAAAAATTCATATTGTTTGTGAAATTGTGTGTGTTTGTAAAATTAAAAATAAGATATTTAATTAACACCTTTTGTTATTATAGCGAAAAAATAGGGTGGTGTGCATTAAGAATAGACATAACTGGTTGATGACTGTACCACCTCAGGCAACCGTGACCCTGGGATCTGTAAAATGCCCGAAACGTTGGTTTGTTTGAAAAAAAATACGCGATTTAAATCCGGAAGAATAGTTTTATTTCCTATGTGTAACAATCGCGAAAACCTAAGAACTCGATATAAACTCTCGTTTTCAGCTGTAATGTACTACCTAGCATCAATAGTGAATAGTCGTCGACGAGAGTTAATGCAAGGACAGATGTTTTCCGCTGTGAAGACCTGGAACCGCCCGGCGACAGCTTGGAGCTACACACGAGCGTACAGCACCTGGAGATATGTATAGAAACTATATAGGAACTGGAGGAATACACTCAAGAAGTCGAATAAAACATTATACAAGGAAACGGGAAACCTCCTTCGTCGTTAACTACATTTATAGCGGTAGTGCAAACTTGGTATTGGTTTGTACAAAAACTGCTGCAGTGAGTGGCGTGTGTTTCGCCTTAATCGTCATACCCCGCATAAGTGTAGCAAAATGTTGTTTTATATAGTAGTATCAACTGAAAAAGTCGCTGATCAGCTGTGCATCATATACGAATGTACCTACATATTTAGTTAAGCAGCTTGATTTTGGATGCCTCTCCCGATCGGAAACTGCGTCATTTCCGAATCGAGGCGTATAATATCGCGTTTGGGCTGGAAAAATTTTTAAATAATAGGGCATAAGAACGAAATTGCTATTCTGTATAGGAAAAATTCTACTAATGAAAAAAATAAAATGAAATAAAATGCATTTATTTCGGACTACAATAAGATCCATAAAAAATGTTAGTATTACAGCAAAGACTTAAATGACTATGTTAGTAATAGAACTTAAATGAAGAGAGGACCAGTGCCTTAGCATTCCACTGTCCCATCTGTGTGCAACAACTGTCAAGAGTTTGTGGCAGCTGTCGCGCACCCTACCCATTGTCGCGGCGCAGCGCTTGCGCAACGTCGCTTCGACGCCGTCAACACTCGCATCCGCGGACATCCCGGACGCACTACAGTGTCGCGGCAGCCGCAAAAGAACCCTAAACGCGTCGTTGTACTGTACACGCATTGCATTTAGGGACTTTTGTGTGTACCTGCACCATAAACTACAGGTGTACAGCGATGTGCAGTAAGCATTAAATAAAGTTACTTTTACCTGTGCCGTACATCGACTGAAGCTACGCGCTATCATATTAGCTCTCATTGATACTGCTCTACGTTCCCTCTCAATAATACTAATAATCTCAAAAAAAACCGACTACAAAAGTCATTCATCCCCTAGTTTGCCACCCTTAGAGATGGAATATTTTCTTCAAATATTAAATGGGACTACTACTGAGACACCTTCTTTCCAACAAAAAAAGAATCATCATAATCGGTTCACAAATGCTGAAGTTATCGCATAACATACATATACAAAAAAAGAGAAACACACAGTCAAATTGGGAACCTCCTTCTTTTTTGAGGTCGGTTAAAAAGTATGTTCTATCTTCTTCTTTCCGGAAAAAACTATTGATCTCAAAAACCAATGAAATAACAAAACAAAGGTTAAACTTCTTTGGCAATATTAATTTAAACAAAATGTGCACCCATAGGTCCTAGTTTTTTTTTGAAATGGCTGTCAGCTGCACAACCATGGTTACAGATCAAAAGAAGCTGCGGTGGATAGCTCCACGCTCGAACCAACAAAGAATTACTAACAATTTTCTGTGGGTAAATTTCTTGTTTGGACGCTGTTTGGGCTTGTCGCCATGGTTCAGCCACTATTTTGCCATTACCATAAGAATCCATTTTTCATCATAAGCACTTACGGACTAAAACTCTGTGTATCGATCGTGGAAGACGAACGGTGCGTTTGTATATTACACATATACATGACGTTAATGTAGGAACCCGTTTTCAAAAATTACACGAATGTTAAATACTATTTTTGTATATTTCAAAGCAATTCTATATATACCAAAAATGTGAATAACGCGTTTCAATAAGATTTCTTTTTCTTCTTATCAAAATCGTACAATAGAAAGACTGTTACCAGAACCTAAGAACGGCAACTTCATACTTTATGCCCTAATACCCTAATATATCTGACCAAAAATATAAGTTATGTATGTACTTTGGTACGTATATTTTACTTACATACCTATCCATAATTATAGTGATAAAAATTTCTAAATATCAAGTGATTAATTGTATAATGTTAATTATAGATTAATTGTGTATACATAGCAGTTATTCAAAATATTTGTTTGATAATGTAATTTAACGTTAGACAGCAGTACCATGTGAGTATGTCGAGTCTATAATTGTGAAATATTAGATAATATTGATAAATATTTTGTTATCTTGTTTGTCACACTTGTATAGACACATCTCAAATAGTAACGAACAATATCTGATAAATTATTATAAATATATACTTGCCTTTTTCTTTTACTTTATCATTAAGAATCAGTAATACATCAATTAGTTTTGACGTGTAATACCTTTTGGGCTACAATTTTGTTCCATGTGGAACCGAGTTCATAGAACTACTGGGAATAAACTATTATTTAATTTTTTTTTTTTTATTATTGACGACAGTTAGGTTAGGTCCTAACCTATTAGCAGTGATACTAAATAGATAGATTCTGAGGTCGATTCCCAGTAACACCAATTTGAGAAATGTGCTTTTTTAAATTGTTTCTCGTCTGGATGTTGATGTTGATGTTGGTGTTGAATTATCTTCAAAAACACGTAATTGAGAAAGAGCTGGTGCGTTTTGTGTCGCCATTGCGATCCTATGGATCGTTACCGTTGAAGTGCGTTACGTGGACGTGGTTATAATTACCGAAAACAATGCAAGCATTGCCTGCGCGCACAATGTAGACCCGCCAAAGCCGCTGAACGGAAAATTGCGCTTTTCTTTTGTACATTAAGGATGAGAGTATTTCAATTTAACATTTTAGATTATTTATATTTCTACTAAGAGGATAGTATCTCAGTTAACTCATGGTACACCTCTCTGGCCAATAAAAGTGGAAAACAAAAATCAGCAAGAACATAATATAATATCAGCAAGAATACACTTAAAAGCTATTCAGAAATTTAAACCTTCATGTCAGATTTGATAGAAATTACTAACTTTTGTCACTATTGTTGAGAATAGGGTAATTTGCAATAAGATTAGACATACACATATAATTGATGACTGTACCATCTTATTCGGCTACGACCATAAAACCTGGGATCTGTAAAGGGCTTGAAACGTTGGCTTCTTTGAAAAAAACAAATATACGCGAATTAGACTAGAAAAAAGAATAGTTTCATTTCCAATGTATTCTCTCTCGATATTTATACCAGAATTATATTCGCACTATTAATCGAAAACAATAATTCATACCCTTAGGGTAATAAGACCAAACGTGATCATACGTCAAAAGTGCTTACATAAAAATAATACAAACTATATGAAACCAATATATGTACATATATGTGAAATTTTGTAACTATTCTCCTTAATCTTAAAAAGAATTATCGACTTATTCCATTCGAAGAAACTTTGAACTTCTCTCCTGAAAGTTGTCATTTTGTAGTCATGGCGTTATTACAACCAAGAGCGTAAATTCTAGGCTACATACAAATATAACCATAAGCTCTCGTCCACAACCTAGTTTACAAAATAGATTTAAGGAAAAATTTTTGAAAAATTATGGACAACCCTGAGGCAACAACTGTGTCCGCGACACGTCGTGGTGCGTTTAAGAGAGCAGATATTATAAATATAAGTGACGGTTGCACGCCCTCGGCTTCACAAACGGACAAACATTCACACGGTCTGTTGCAAGTGTTACACTGGCAACCACATAACGGGAGACGATGGTGAGTAATTTCTTCATGCAATAGAAATAATTATACACTTCAGTGCCATAAACACTTAAACAACCCCGTGCCTATCGACGGGGTGTTTACAGATTGATGTAATGATCAATAAGGAACTATTCTTCCTAACGAGTTATTGAGAAATGTATCTATATATGTGGCACTACAACTGCTATGGATAAGACTGTCGCTTACCACCAGGTGCACGACTAGTTCGTCCAGTCACTTGGTAATAAAAAAAATTTTTTCAACTTTACAGATGATTTTTTTATGATACTAAGTGACGGGATGAACAAGTTGTACACCTGGTGGTAAGCGACAGGCTTGTCCATAATTGCAATGCCAATGCAATGCAATGAAATGCAATGCTCAGAGCTTTAAATCGCAAAGATCTGAGCGACACTGCCACTGCGACCTGTCACTCGGACGCGTAAGTTGACAAGTCCCATGAAATTTCACCAGCTCGTCTGGCCTCACCCTAAGGGTGCTTAGGGTGAGCGTAATTTTATGAGTTGTGAGTTGCGTTTTTTGAGTTGCGCAATTTGCGCTCAACTGAAATTCGGTTGGAGCGGAACGTATTTTATTCAGTTGCTTATTAAGCGTTTATACCAAAGTAACCCCTTCCCTGACCCCTACCTCCACCCGCGCCAGCCCCTAGCTCGATGCGACCGAAAGTCAGTCGTCATTGCGCCCTAGAGTCGGCAGATAACTCATTTTGCGTCGTCGTGTGAAACAAACCGTACTTTAATATGAAACCGAAAGCAGCGCAAAGTACCCAACTCAAACTACGCGACTCACAACTCACAAAATTACGCTCGTCTGGCCTCACATTTACCCTTCAAAACCGAAACCCATTAATGGCATGCTTGGTAGCAGAAACACGTAATGTGGCAGTACTTCAACTCGTCAAATTGTCAAGCATTCTGCATACTAGGGGCCAGTTTAGCAGGCTGTATCCTAAATCTTCTAAGAGCCGAGCTCAGCAGCTGGACTTTTACGGCTTTTACGGCTTCAGTACTTTGGGTACAGTTGACCACAATTTCGTCATAAGCATGTTATAAGATACAAGTCATCAATCATGTTATAAAACGTGTCAATTTCCATTTATTACCATAAAGTTCATTTCTCAATCACAAAATTAACCCAATATCAGAATTTACGACGTGTTCGAACTACCATCAAACTGTAATCAAATTCGATTGAAGCGATATGTGCAGAGCAACGTTTTCCGAAAAAAAAAAAATTAGAAATATCGAACATTATATCTCGACTTTACATTTCCAAAACTCATTACGGTTGGTAATTTGGTCACTCAATATAAATTATTCTTTTAGTACTGAGTTGCTTGTGTTATCGATAGTTTCACTTTAACTAGATTAATAAATTAAACATACTAGATATAGAAACCCTTTGTTAACTTACTACTTTTTTGAAAGACTTTTTATCTGAATGCTTTATACATTTTCAGACTTCTCTTAATTTTCGTCACATTATACCACTGTATATATACTCTCAACTTAAATAGATTACAATAAATATGTAACTGTCAATAGCACGTCGAACTCTTCAGTTTGGACTTTGCAGCGTATTTATACTGAGCTGAGGATTTAAATTTGAATCTTAAGTGTTAAGTGTATAGATTGTACATATATGCACCGATATTAAAACATGACAACATTAGTATTCTCGGTAAATAATTAGCATGTCATTATCGTAATCTACCTTAGACATGTTCCACGTGTCACGAAATCTGTAATGTTACCGTTCACAACGTAACACAAAACAGTTACGATCTATATAGTCGATATATTTTATATTTATTTGTCCCATCACTAGTCTGCCCATCGCAACTTACACTAGCTGTAGTTACGTAACAGTCACCTGCCATCGCGTGTACTGCGGTTCCCACGGCGCGGGACGGGCGGCGAGGCCGGGGACCGGGTGGCAGCGCGTGCGCACTTTCACTGCCGCACCTGTTGTGCATCCAGCTTTAACTCAGGCCCGGAGTCAGTGGCGAAATCTATTCGTTTTACTTTAAAATTTTATTGAACATGGTATGTTTATGATTTTCGAACATGTACAGCACTTATGTTGCACAAATTTATCTTATAAGTTTCCCAGAAATATCCAACAAGTATATTTTTTCCAATCATAGAACAAGGTATATACCATCGTTAGTTAATAATTTCAGTTGAGCTCCTTGCAAAAGAATTCGACGCCCGTTCGCCCCTAAAATCTTTGCGATTTAAAGCTCTGAGTGGCACTGCAACTGCTATGGACAGGCGTGCCGCTTACCACCAGGCGTATGACTTATTCGTCCTGCCACTTGGCATCATAAAAAACCCTATAAGGAAAATGGACATGTAGGATACGATAGTACTATGTTCTATTTAAATAATTACTGATCTGAATACGGCCCCGTGCTGCAATCTCGCATCGCATCACCGAATCACTAGCATTCCGTCGCTAAG